AGAAATCATGGCTAGTCAGCATATATGGAGTCTCCACGAACCGCCTGGTGCAGGGCCTCATCACACCCAAGTCCTCACTAGTCATTTTGCGCCGAAGCATCCAAGATGGCCATGCGCATGGACTTTTTTGCATGAACCCAAAGACCCAGTGAATTGGTTGCCGACTTCATGGCCGAGATTTGCAGACTAGCCATCGATTGCAAATTTCCAGCCATCGAGGATGCCATCTTGAACCAGTTCGTCTGGGGCGTCTGCGATCAGAAACTCCACAGGAAGCTTGTCGGCCTTGAAGACATCAAGTTGGACAAGGCTCTATGAGTGGCCTCCGCTTTCAAGAAAGCCCAACAAGATCGACAGGCTTTGGTGACCCACCACGCGTCCACCGACCCCGGCTCAGGAGCCTCTGATGAGGAAAACATCCTCCAGATACGCCATCAGGACAACCGGGGGCCACAGCCACCATTGGGACCAGCTTCACACTCCACGTGTACAACTGCTCAACCAACATGCGCCAGCTACGCGGATCCGCATGAATGCCTCTCCTGCCGGCTCCGGGATGCAACATGCCGGTCCTGTGGCAACATGGGACACATCGCACGGGTCTGCCATTCCCGCGGAAGCAGATGACAACAGATGACACACCAGGAACTAATGGACCTACATACCACAACACACAACCACCAGGTACTGAATTTCCCCCGGGACATCCCTAACAAAATCCATGTGACTGTGTTAATAGAGGGGTCCCCCTGTGAGATGGAGCTAGATACACGTTCCTCATTCTCCATAATTTCAGCTGAGACTCTAAAGAAACTCTGTCCGCAGGGGGGCCCACGACTGGAGAAACGGGTGGGCCTCACTTTGTGAAACTTTCAGAAGAACCCAGTGGCCATAAAGGGGTGGGGCAAATTCAGAGTAAACTATAAGGACTTTAATGGACTATTGGACTTATTGGTGGTGGAGAGTCGGCTCACTAGCTTGCTTGGCCTGTTGTGGTTTGGGCCCTTGGGGTTTGGGGTGACTGGGGTGAACCACGTACAAATGCAGGACTTTAATGCTGTTTGCGAGGAGTTTCTGGTGGTTTTTGATGGTTCGCTTGGTTAATACACCGGGGAACTCATTTCCCTGGATCTAGACCCTGTGGTTCACCCCATCTGCATGAAAGCCAGGCCCCCGTTTGCACTGCGGTCCAAAATCAAGAGGGAACTGGACCGCCTGGTGGAGCAGGGGGTTCTGGAACCAGTACCACATGCTAAGTGGAAGACCCCCATAATCACCCCCATAAAGCCCAATGGAGACATTCCCTATAAGTGCACAATTAATAAGGCGCTCCAGGACCATGCTTACCTGGTACCGGTGGTCAGCCATGTGTTAGCCTCCCTGGTGGGTGCAAGAATCTTCGAGAAGCTGGACTTAGCCCAGGCTTATCAACAGTCGCCAGTGGACAACATCATGGCCGAGGCTCAAGCTATTGTTACACATAGGGGTGCTTTCAGGGTGCGCCGGCTGCAGTTCGGAGTGAGCGTGGTGCTGGGGATTTCCCAAAATCTCATGGACTGTCTCCTTAAAGATATCCCCGGGGTCCAGCCATTCTTTGATGACATTTTAATTGCGCCTCTGGATGCCAAGACCTTCGCGACCCGCCTGCGGCTGGTGCTGCAGCGCTTCAACAAAGCTGGACTTAAAGTAAAAAGGGAAAAGTGCCTGCTGGGGGTCCTGAGAGTGGAATTCCTGGGGTTTGTGGTGGACGCTCAGGGGATTCACCCCACACCGGAGAAGATATGTGCCATCACCCAAATGCCTACCCCCGCCTCCAAGGCCGAACTACAGGCTTTCCTGGGACTTTTAAATTTCTATCACTCTTTCCTACCTCACAAGGCCACGGTCTCAGAACCCCTCCACCACCTTCTAGACAAAAATGCTTAGTGGTTCTGGGCCCCCAAACAAGTTATGGCCTTCCGGGCAGTTAAAGAACTGCTCTCCTCCAATGCGGTCCTGGTCCACTTTGATGAGTCCCTGCCTGTGGTGCTGGCATGTGATGCTTCTCCCTACAGGGTGGGGGCAGTCCTGGGCCACCAGCTGGAGGACGGCCATGAAGTCCCCGTGGGTTACTACTCTCGGACCCTACCTGCTGCGGAGCGCAACTACGTGCAGATTGATAAGGAAGCCATGGCTATCATGGCCAGCATAAAAAAGTTTCATGACTATCTGTACGGCCGGCCCTTCACCATTGCAATGGACCACAAGCCCCTCTTGGGCCTCCTTGCCCCTGACTGCCAGACCCCTCAGATGCTGTCACCCCGGGTTCTGCACTGGTCTATCTTCCTGGCGGGGTACCAGTACACACTTGTCCACAGGCCCGGTAAGGCGATGGGCCTCACGGGCACACTCAGCCAGCTGCCACTGCCATCCTGCGACCCAGACCCAGCCCCGGCTCATCAGGTCACCCTGCTTGAGGACTTGCCAGACCGCCCAGTGCACGTGGCGGAGGTGTCCCATCACATCTCCAGGGATCGCATATTGTCCCGGGTCCTGGACTGGGCGGGGAGAGGCTGGCCCATTGAACCAGTGGGCCCAGAATTTGCTGCCTTCTCATCAAGAAAAGATGAGCTATCGACACATAAGGGCTGCATACTCTGGGATGGAAGAGTAATTATACTGCCCCCCCTACACCTAAGGGTCCTAACTGCACTACACAAAACACACCCGGGCATTGTACATATGAAAGTGCTGGCCCGGAGCTACATATGGTGGCTGGGACTAGACAGAGAGATAGAGGACCAGGTTAAGCGCTGCCAATCACGGACTGAGCCCCCTAAAGCCCCGGTGAGTCCCTGGGAGACCTCTCATAAACCCTGGGCCAGGCTTCATCTGGACTTCGCAGGTCCCTTCCAGGGCCAAATCTTTTTTATATTGGTGGACTCATACACCAAGTGGTTGGAGGTGCTCTTGGTGCCTTCTACCTCATCCAAAGCCACCATTCAGGCAATGTGGCGGATCTTTAACTCACACGGCATCCCCAACTCGCTGGTAACAGACAATGGGATGGCGTTCACTTCGACAGAGTTCCAGGAGTTCATGGAATACTACGGCATCCGGCACATCCCTTACGCACCATTCCACCCCGCAACCAATGGCCAGGCCAAGCACACGGTCAGAACAACCAAGGAGGCTCTATGGCACATGGATCAGGGGGATTGGGACTACCGACTAGCTGCCTTCCTCTTCGGGCAGTGCACGATGCCTCACACATCCATCAGCCACAGCCCGGCGGAGCTCCTGATGGGGTGGCACCTCCCGACTCGCCCAGGTTATTTACACCCCGATCAGGACCTGGAACACAGTGCAACCACCGAAGACCAGGAAGCACCAAGAGGCTTCTTCCCGGGCGACCCAGTATACACCAAAAACTACAGCTGGGGTCCAGCATGGCTCCTGGCCAGGGTGGTCAGGATCACGGGGCCCCAGTCCTGTGAGGTCTCCACGGACAATGGCCAGCTACTATGGAGAACCTATCAGATGGCTCGGATTGAGGAAAGGTCTGAATGGATTGGATGTATCGGTATAGACCTATCACTGGGAGTGGGGTGTGGTTTTGTTGGGTGATTTAAGCCGGTCCTCGGACCAGCTACTTTGTCTTTAGTTTGTGCTTCAAATAAACTTATGAGCTGATTTCACTACAACGTGTCTCGAACCCAGTACTTTATACCACCCTACATTTATATAAGATGGGAATGCCTCTGTATGTTATCTCTATCATGCTTAAAGGTATTCCTTACACAGGAAGGGTGAACTACATCTATTTTCAGGAGAAATAGAAGGCTTGAGAAACTGACAGCTGGGATTCATATCTGAATTCTGTCTCATGAAAAGGAGTGTATAAACAGTCCTCCAAATATGCAAACTGCATGTGTATGACTTTAGCCATTAGGATTGTTGAGATTTGTAACCAGTTGTATTAAGAGGGGATAAAATTAGGGGAATCCCTGTGAAAGCAAGCTTACAGTGCAATCCTGAGAACACTTTCCTGTGAGTAGCCCCCATGAACAGACCTTACTGGGATTCTGATAGACTAATTTAAGATTTCTTTGTTAGTTAAGCTAAGCTTTAGTTAGTAAGCTGAGCTTTAAGACTGTACTTTTGTGTACAGTTTCAGAGGGTAGCTGTATTGGTTGTACTGTAGAACAGCAAGATTCAAGTCCAGTAGCACCTTAAAGACCAACAATATTTTGGGGGTATAAGCCTTTGAGAGGTCAAAGCTCCCTTCATGAGATCTTATGAAGGACATCTTGACTTCTCAAAAGCTTATCTCCTGAAGATCTTGTTGGTCTCTAAGGTTCACCTGGACTCACATCTAGCTGTTCTTTAGTGTACAGATTACTGTTTTGGAACACTATTTCCTTTGTTCAATGATATTGTTGTTAACATCTCTTAACCACATGGGTGGTTAAAACAGTGAAAAGGTAGATAAACCCTGGATTAGATGTCTGCTAGGTAGATAAACCCTGAATTAGATGTCTGCTATTATATTAAATGACATGCATCACAACAATATGCTGTTGCTGGGTATTCAATGTAATGTTGCAGGTGGACTTTTCACATCATTATTTGTAATGCCATTCTTTCCTAAACTTGGAAAATTTTGAAGTGTATTTATTACATTGTACACAATATGATCTGCCTAATATTGGAGGATGTATATGCAGAATTCTTGAGCAAAATTCTGCACTGGTAAATTTCTAAACCCATACAGCAGGTTGTATTTTTCATGATTTTGTATTTTCCAGGTAAATGTGCCCATAAAAGAAAAATAACTATAAGCTATGTCAGCAAAGAATCTGGTAAATGATATGCTAACATATTAACATTTATGTGTATGGAGGGGAGGGGGAGTAAATCCGAACTGTATTGTGGAATGGGAAAACTAAATGATGACACTAAATGGCAGTAAAAATTCACTGCCTAGAACAGCGTTTGAATGATTGGATGTCATTTTCTAGGTCTAATTCGCCTGCAAGAGCTCATCAAAGCCCCTTCTAGGTACAACATCAAAATCAAAATCCGCCAGCTGCCTGCTGGGAATAAAGATGCTCGGCCCTTACTCAAGGAGATGAAGAAGGGCAAAGAATTCTATGTGATATTTGATTGCTCACATGAAACGGCAGCAGAAATCCTTAAACAGGTAAGAAGGAGGAAAATACCCATTTATTTTTATCAAAGTTATCATGCCATCTGGTTTTCAGCTTCTGGGAAGCAATAAAACTGCATTCAGGTGGATTAGATTTTGGCTCATTATCACAGTGTTGAGCAGTTATTCTCAACACTGTGATTCTCTCTTGGCATCTCACAGGCAAGAAAGGTGTCTTTGAGGATCTCTGAAGAGCTTTTTTAAAGGTTACAGCAACCATATGGAGGCTGCTCAGAGCCTTCCCCATGGTAGCACTTCATGTAGTGGACATAATGCTTAAAAGTGCATTGGTACGTATATTGCTCCAATTTATACACCAACTGAATTTGTGTACCTAAAGTTCTGTCAAATTGTGGCCAATTTATAGTGACCCCAGCAAGGAGTTTTCAATGCAAGTGATAAAGCAGAGGTGGTTTGTTATTGCCTTTCTCTGCAAAATCTTCTTTGGTGGTCTCTCATTCACCTATCAACCCTTCTTACCTTCTGAGATCTGATAAGATTGGGCTATACTATACCTGTGATGGACTGCACTTTTAAGAAGCTTAGAAGTGCTGTACAAACAGCTGAAGGACTCGGAACAGTTAATTCTTCACAGAAACAGAGAGCCATGAGTGACAGGCTGCTCTAAGCATTCTGATTGGTTAGCATCAGCTGAGCAGAGAAAGTCTGATTTTAGCCCTAGCTGAGAAGAGTCAAGTACTAAAAGTTTCAGAATTCAGCCCTGACTGAGAGCAGCTTAATACAGACAGGAAAACTGGGGGAAAGTTGGCAAAGAAGTCTGGGAAGTAGGCAAAGACTCCCATTTGGGCCAAGGAAAGGGGATAGATCTTCTAGAGAGAGGGAAAATCTTGCCTCTCAGGGAGAGAAGTAGATGGGGCCATCATAATACTATTCCACATCCTCCCATTGACTGAATACTATATTAGATTTCCCTGGTAAAATAACAACACAGGTGGAATTCAGCTGATTTGGATTTCTGGCGAACCACTACAAACTACTAAGACAGACTTTGTGATGTCACCAAATCCAGGCTACTTTAGTTTGTGGAAATGTGAACATAGAGTTTGATATGGGCCAAAATATCTGGAAATCAGAACTGGCTTGAGAGGATACAAGTCCAGTACTACCTGAATGCTATAAGTATTTCTGCTGAAATTTTTGCTGTGCAGTGGGAAAAGGTTTCCTGTGAAACTATATATCACATTGTTCAGGAACACATGTAATGTCAATTGAGTAAACCTCAGCCCCAGACTTACCTGGGGATGTTTAGTGGCTGAATGAGGGGGGGAATGGCACACAGGCTCCACGCTCATGTGGCATCGTGCCGTATGGGTGCAGCTGTGGCCTGCTAATTCTCTGAAGAAGATTATCAATCTGTATTTCATTACATTACAGGGTAGTGTGCCAGTAAAATGGATCACAACAATCCCTATAATAGGAAGGATGAATTCATACTGAGTTTTTTGCCCATTGTATACTGTTGGAAATTTTCCTAGACCTGGAGATTTCTTACATAGCTAGCTCTAAACGAATATTAAAAATATCTTATATTTTAATAGCCAAGTCACCAAATCTTTGCATACTTAAATCCAATGACTGGAGCTCTGAACAGGCAAGACAGATTTTTCTACAAACATGAAGAAGGCCCCAGGTTTGGGGGGGGGGGGAGGGGAAACTAAAAAAAAAAAAAATTAGGGGTTTAAAAAAACCCAAAAATGTTAAAAGGAGTGCCTGTAGCTTTAAAAAATTTATTCACTCAGTGGCTGTTGCTAGGCAATCACAGTATTTCAAGTTTGGTTTTGTTAGTAAAAGGCAGGGGGAGGGGGCAGGGCCCTTTCCAGGCCTATTTTGGCCTTTGAGGGAAGAATCCTAGGGGCCAGGCCTGACAAGGGTTGCCAGCTCCAGGTTGGGAAGTTCCTGGAGATTTTATGGTGGAGGCTGGGGGGGGGGCAGGATTTGGGGAGGGGAGAGACCTCAGCCAGATATAGTAGTATGACAGAGTCCACCTTCCAAATCAGCCATTTTCTCCAGGGAGACAGATCTCTGTGGTCTGGAGTTCAGTTTCTGGGGGATTTCCAGGTCCCACCTAGAGGCTGGCAACCCTAGGCCTGGCAGCAACCTCTGGGTGACTTGATACCACCCAACTTGCATGACAAGAACTCATGGGCACTCCATGAAATTGCTGAGTGGTCGAGTTAGAACAGATAAAAGAAAGTACTTCTTCACCCTAAGAGTGATTAACACATGGAATTCACTGCCACAGGAGGTGGTGGTGGCTACAAGATTGGACAGCTTCAAGAGGGAACTGGATAAACATATGGAGCAGAGGTCCATCAGTGGCTATTAGTCACAAGATATAGATAGGGACTCACAGGCTAGGGCAGGTGACGCAGAGTATTATTGGTGCTTGGGGGCGGAACAGTGGGAGGGCTTCTAGTCTCCTGGCCCCACTGCTGGACCTCCTGATGGCACCTGGTATTTTTGGCCACTGTGTGACAGAGTGTTGGACTAGATGGGCCATTGGCCTGATCCAACATTGGCTTCTCTTATGTTCTTATTGTTCAACAGCAGCCACCCTATGAAAGCCAGTGTGGTGTAGCTGTTAGAGCTTCAGAGTAGAGTCTGAGACAGCCAGGTTCATCATGCTGTAGTTCACTGTGAGATTTTGGACCAGTTACATACTTTCAGCCTAACCTTCATCACAGGCAGGGCTGTAGCTAGCGTAGGTAGTATGGGGCAATGTGCCCTTCCAGATTTTCAGTGCCCCCAGTGACTCTTGGAGCTGCACTGGAGAGTCAGTGAGAGAGAAAAGAGATTTCAACCACCAACCTCCTTACAGGTTCAATCCTGATTGTGCCCTTCCAAAGCTTTGCAGAAGTTCTGGAGGCTCTTTTGCAACCCCTGTTCTCTCACCCCATCTCTCCTTTTGAAAATTGTTGCTGGTTGTGGGGTACAGAACCTCTCACTTCCCATCATTTAGCAGTTTTAGCTGCCCTGCTGTTTTTGTGGAGCATGCCTGGATGGCTGGGTATGCTCAGTCTCAACAGCCGAAGCCACTTTGCTCTTCCTCCTTTTGCCCTTAGAAGCTGCTGCTTTCCACAGCGGGGAAGGGAAAAGATGTAGAGTTCAAAAGCCTGACAGGAGAGGTGGCAAGAAGCCCAAAGCCCGCATCTTCCCTCACCCCACCTCTCACCATCCCACCTGCTTCAGCCTCTCCTTCCTCAGGCAGGCGACTGCCTGCCGGCGGGGTGTTACATATTAGGCCAGGAACATTCCAGGAATATCTACCAGAGACTGGCTGAGCTTGGAGCTCTAGAACAATAGCCCACCAGGACTCTGGAAGTGACCAATGAGAAACTAATATTATGTAAATAGCCTATCATTGGGAGTTGGGTTTGTTTGGGTGTGGGTTTTGCATGCTATTTAAACAGGGCTATTGCCCTGGTGTTTTAGTCTGGTTCCTGAAATGACTTAATAAAGTAGAGCTGTTCACTGCAATGCATCTTGAACCCAGTATTTTATACTGGTGATGAAGATGGGATCCTGTCGAGTAAGCCTAGAGTAAAGTGAGTGAGCCTAGAGACCATCTGCACCACACTGCACACAGAGCTCCAGTGCCACGTGCATCGCACCACAACCGGGATCATGGCTGCCACTCCAGGACACTTTGACGCATTTGACGCCACTGCTGAGGGCTGGGACTCCTACATTTCTCGCTTCAAGTTCTTCCTCGAGTCCTCTGAGATCACAGCGGGTGCGAAGAAGCGCATCACCTTCTTCTGGGTCTGCAGCCGCTTAGCATTCGAGATTGTCCGCTCACTACTAGCTCCAGCGAACTACGAAACACCCCTTACCAGACAATTATAGACCGGCTGAAGGAGCACATTGTGCCAACGCCCTCGTCATTGCGGCCCACCACGCGTTCTACACAAGGAACCATGCAACAGGTGAGTCAATCACAGCCTATGTTACAGCCCTCCTGTTGCCCGACATTGCAACTTCCATGATCTTGAGGAAGCGCTCCGTGACTGGCTGGTGTGTGGACTTTGGGAAAAGCGGATCCAACGACGGTTCGTTGCCAAGCAGGACCGCACGTTCAAGGACACACTTGAAGAAGCCCTCTCAGCAGAAGCCGCTGACCAGTTCACCGCAGAGGTCCGCCAAACTATGAACCCACTAACTTCATGAAGACCCAACACTGCAGCCCACCACGTGGACACCTCCGATGAGGAGGTCCTGAAAATACATTGCTCAGCCTGCCATGGCACTAGCACACCTGCCACGGCTCGCACCAGCAGATCCACCACCTCGACACCATACACCAGCTGCGGGGAGCCCCATGTTTGGAAATTCTGCCATTTCCAAGATGCCACGTGTCAGAGCTATGGAAAGGTCGGCCATATCGCCCATGCCTGCCATTCCAAGGGACCCTGGAAGTGACAGTCCGCCCATCAGGAGTCTGCGCATGCCACGGAACTGCACACCACTGCCGTTCCAACCACACCAGGTACTGCCCTTGCCCCAGGACACCCCCAATAAAACTAAAGTGACTGTTCTAATCGAGGGAGCCCCATGTACGATGGAGCTAGACACAGGGTCCTGCATTTCCATAATCTTGCAGGAGACCCTCCATAGACTCTGCCCTAAAGGGGGCCCTCGCCTCAGCCTGGCCGGTTTCACCCTACGGGACTTCCAACAGAATGAGGTGGCCGTGAAAGGGGTGGGAAAGTTTCTGGACTCTTGCACTTGCTGGTAGCAGGGGGCAGTTGCAGTGTTTACTAGGATTAGCATGGTTCATGCCCTTGGGGTTCTGGATCACAGGGGTACACCAAATTGCTTGAAAAGACTTTCAGCTGGTGTGTGACGAGTTCCTGGCTGTATTTGATGGGACGTTTGGTCGCTACCACGGACCCCCCTTTTTCCTCCACCTCACCCCAGAGGTACGGCCCATAAGGCTGAAGGCCAAGCACGTCCCATTCACGCTGAAGCCAAAA